AATATAAATGTGCCCATCAGAGTGCCTCTTAATATAAATGTGCCCATCAGAGTGCCCCTAAACATAAAATGTGCCCATCAGAGTGCCCCTTAGCATAAAATAAGGGGCATGCTGATGGGCACATTTTATGTTTAGGGGCACTCTGATGGGCACATTTATATTAGGGGCACTCTGATGGGTACATTTTATGTTAAGGGGAACTCTGATGGGTACATTCTATGTTGTGCCCATCAGAGTACACCTTAAAAGCAAATATGCCCATCAGCATGACCATTTAACATTAAATGTGCCCATCAGAGTGCTCCTGTAAGACTACACCCTACCTTGAGGACAGACAGGAGATGTGCCGGGATCCTTGCTGAAGGATGGTTGTGTACAAGCAGGGAGCTGGAGCTGGAGAGACAGTGAGCTGCAAGGGGCGGGGCGCACACGTGATGTCATCGGTTGCCGTGATGACTACCCTGCTCAGCGGCGGATCTGTCATTGCGGGCTGGCGGTCCAGAAGGGAGCTCTGCTGGGGCCATTCTCGGACCTCAGTCCGCCATTTAGTGACCGCTGTACTAAACTTACTGATGTCAATCAGTTATTGCATTTCACTAGTTTTCATCTGCCTAGATTTCAGGTTGTTGCCCAGAAGCCAATATACCTGTGTCAAGGATTTTTACTGACACTACTCTTTTGGCACATGAATTCTAGGTGCTATCCACAAAATACACTTAAGAGAGAGAGCTCAAATCTTTCTGACAGACGGTCACCCCATGAGACATTATTGCAACCTTCATTTCACACTATCATCCCATTCTTGTCATATTTTTTGCCATCATTAAAACACATTGGTCTATGCTTAGGAATAGTTATCCTGATATTCCTGAATTAATTTCTCTACCCTGCCTTCATATAAAAGGAGTTGCAATATATATAACAAGTTGGTTAGAATGAATACTATCCTGCCAAAACCACTGATCTACTTTCCTGGGACCTCTTAGTGTGTTACTAAACTCACAACAGTAAAATCAACCTGTATATGCAGTAAAGTATGCTTGTTATACTCACTGTGGAACCTAAGGGGTTAATTCTCTGCATTGTGTAAAAAGGCTGTTTTATCCATTCTTCTCTGTTCCTCCCCCTTTTCAGTTGACCACCTCTTATCTCCAGACTGAACCCTTGACATGCACATGCTCAGTTTGGTGTGTATTGCTCCAAGGAGGAGGGCCCTCCTAATCCTCTTGTATTGAACTGTATTGTTGCTGTATTGTCTCCCATTATATTGTAAAGCGCTGAGCAAACTGTTATAAATCCTGTATAATAATAATAATATTGCTAGAGAGGGTTTTTTGTCTTGGGAGAGTGCATTTGATTAGCACAGGGCCAATCATTGCTGTCCAGACAGAGGTAAGGGGATTTCCATCCTCCTAGAGCAGAAAAAACTCCTCCTACAAGCTTTAGCTAGTGGTGGGCTGGACACAGATAGAAGTCACAAGACTGATAAGAAAAGATATTTATCAGTTTATATTTACTAAAATAATTGCACTTTCATGTTCTGTGTACTGTTGGAGACCAGATATAGTGAATGCAGGGTCCTGGGTTTAGTAACACTTTAACGTTTTATATTTTCTTTATTTTAATTGTATAGAGTGTACACACAGGATATATATTTTCTACATCAGGGTTACCAATTTAAAATCAAGCCAAAGCAGTTATGTCATTTATTTCCTTTAATGTCATTCTGGACTATACTACATGGGTGAGACCACCTAAAAAGATAAAGATTACACATCATTAATATTCCATCAGAGACAAGTTGTTCGACACTTTTCAGAATATTAATTATAAGTTGCTAGACGCTTTTCAGAGTGGTCTCATTCTGTATCTCAGTTAAAATTCATGATTATAGATCATATTACCAAGTACAGAAGGATCGGGAATTGCTGTCTGTGACATCTGACAGTTCCAGTGCTAGTGTCGGTGAGGATTTGTAAGAGCAGCTGAGTCAGGACACTTTTTTAAAAAGCTATTGAGATGAATAGATGTCCCAGCATGATTATCATGAACCTGGTGAAGACTGGAATGTTGTGGAGGCCTCCCTTGCACCTCTCACCCACCACCCCTCACGATGGAGACAGAGAGTGTGAAGGTAAGAAGTGGCATGAGTGCCAGAGTAGCTGGCTGGTGATGTCCACTCTTCAAATTGGTAGTCAGTCCTCAGAGTAAGATGCAGAAGCAGCATGGCACCAGAACAGAAAACAGAAGCAGGATCAAGAAACAGGCAGTGGTCAGCAACAACCAGGCAGGAAGGGACCAAATCATCAAGCAGAGCAAGTCCAAGTCTGGGAGGCAGGCCAAAGTCAGTAAGAACCAGAGAGAGCAGTACAGAATCAACAGGCAAGGACAAGTCCAGTAAACAAGCCAAGGTCAGAGAAATCAGGTGGAGAGTGTTGAGGCAGGAGCAGAAAGCGAAGTCCAAAAGCAAGCTGGGTTAGGTAAGCAGGAACAGAGGATCAAGTCTCAGGCACACAGAACAAGCTGTAGACTATTCAGGAACTGCTCATAGTAACAGACCAGTATAAATAGTTCACTGGGCACCAAGTGTGCATGTTAATTGGAAGTCACTCTGGAAGTCACATGACATTTCTGTCCCCATCCTTTCCCTTCTACTTGCCTTCCTTCCCTTATTCTTACCATTCACACTGTTCTACTTCTCTCCTTTTGCCTTCCCAGGAACCCGTATACAAGTCCTAGGAGACTATATAATTTTTCTATATAATAATGTCTCGCTTCTCTTACATTGCATTATTTGTCTCCTCTCATTGTGGTTTTCATACTATTTGCATATGTTGGTCCTTTCCAGTTGGCCATCAGGCCTCGTGTTATTATTTCTTACCTGTTGTGAATCTACTTTGAACGTTTTACATATGTCATACTACCTGAAATCTCAATAAAAAGTTTGCACAAGGAAATATGAACATGTGTGCAATGCGCACAAGCACTGATCCACACTGGTTTTCTGATGCTGAAAATCTGGTTTATGTTACAAAAGCTCCCAGAATTTTATCCATGTAGGTTGAAAAAAGCCTAGTTGAGTGGAAATTCATAAAGACATTAAAAAATATATGCATTTTTCATTTGCTGCAGTACAGAAGAGAATTGTGGCATTTCTGTAATCAGCCAAAAAATTGATTATACAAAGAACAAATGTTCCTGCATGTGGCTTTCTGCTCATTATGTTGGTAGGAGCTACTAGTTTTCAATAGGAAGCCAAAGGAAATAAACATAATCTTTAGAAGTACCTAAAATAATAATTTCTCTCAACGTACAGTATTTTGACAAAAATATTCCAATGTAGGGGATCAAGAAATGGCACAGCAAAATTGACTTTATTAAAAAGACATTGATATGCAAAGAAAGGATATCATAGACTTGAGATTTTGGATAAATACAACCATGCTTATTTTAAATAATCATCAGATCAAACAATGGGGTGTATTTGGTACAGTTTGTTTCATTTCCTGTTCATAATGAAGGTATTACACATGCAATGGGGAAAGCATAGTATGATGCTCATTATTAAGCACGTATTAGAGATCTTGTCCAATTTCTTATTTATAGTCTGGCCTACCCACTGCCAAGCATTAATCTGATTTATGTGAGCCCAATACAGATATTTGTTGACTGCTTGCTATAATCTTGCAGGCTCTTTTTTCCTGCACATTGCACTAACACTCAGATAAGTCTGATAAAGTTAAAGTTGGCTTGTGCATTGTTTTCACTTGGTTGGAATATGAACAGAACAGAAACAAAGGTCATAGGGAGGATAAAACCACCAGTGATAAGTTTAACAAAATCGGTCTATAAAGTAAATTCTTTATATGCCATAGCATTTAACATGCACAATGTGCTTGTTTGAAATCAATGGGCCTCGAAGCAACCACAGTGCACATAACCTGCCAATGGCTGAGCTAATAAGCGTAATATGTTGTATACGTCTAGAACCACACACACAAATTCAGTTAAATAGTTACCATACTTTAAACAGAATCAATTGAATATTTCATTTCTGGGAACTTAGAAACTGTATTATTGAATATATAACTGTGGTCTGCTTAAGACCCACAAATTTACATTTCAGTATGGCAATGTGTAAAACACTTGTTTCTCACTTGCAGGGATTTTTGATATCCTTACTTCCCTGATCTGTTCTATAGATCACTAATATTTAAACCTACAAAAACTAATAGGTGTAACTATACTATGCTGAGTTGATTCCCTATAATCAACTGCTGCAAAAGATTAGAAATGCAAAAAACTTTGGTGATTTGAGTCAGGTTTGTAGATGTAATTATGACTTGTGTTGGAAAACCCTAGACAGCCTTTAAGAAGTCCTTCAACTGACCAGTTTGCATCCTTCATCTCAACTATAAGCTACTGGACCTAATAGAAATTAAAAAAAATCACTTAATCATCAGCTTAGATCCCTTGTTAAAGTTTGAAACTTCATGAAGATGTTTCCTGCTATGGTACTTCTGTAATCCATAAAAAATCTATTAAATAATTATTTTCTATTGTCAGCATATGCAACTGGTCAAGGTGCTTCACTTTGCTTTGCTTAGCTGTGGTACCGCCACAATATTAAAAAAAAAATAAAAAATAAAAAAAACTGTGAAGGAATTTGTTCTCTACAGTGGATTCTCTGCTGTTTGTTTATTTTTATTTATTTATTTGCCACACCACATAAAAATGTGAGAAAATCTTCAGTTCCCTGCCTCCTTGTTTGTGTTAGATGGTACATGGTCCTTTAATTTGCTGTGGGGAGGTAGGGTTTTTTTAATTCCCCTTTTTCATTATTAGATTCCCTAAACAGACCAAGTTGGCAATGGTTCCAATGCTGCAGTATACTAACTTTTATTCCCAGGGTTTGACTGTAATGGAAAACCAAAAGCCATGTCCCATTTACTGTTACTGACATAGCCTACTTGAGTGTTTGAGCAACCAGCACTGACCTATGACTTATAGCAGGGCTTGAAATTTCCAATCACCTGCTTGCCAATGGCGAGTGGAAATTATGGTGGGGGCGAGTGTGTCCCTCAGGACCGTCTTGCTGAGCAGGCTCGGAGCTCAGGCCGGATCTGTCATTGGCACTGCAAGCTGTCAGACTGCTCAATAGCTGAGCGTAGTGAAAGCAAGAAAGGAGTGTGTGCTGTGCTCTCTGCCTCCCCCTAGAGTGCAGTACCCGTATCTGTGAGTGAACAATAAAGTACTGCAACTTTTTATGGGGGGGGGGATGTGTGTACGTGTGTTTGTTTGTGTCTGTATGTACAATTGTACATGTACTTGTGTGTATCTGTACATGTGTCTGCGTGTGTGTCTGCATGTGTGCGTGTATGTACATGTGTCCGTGTATGTGTATTTCTTTGTATGTACACGTATCTGTGTGTATGTGTGTCTGTACGTGCCTATGTGTGTACATGTGTCTCTGTGCGTGTGTGTACATGTTTCTGTGTGTGTGTATGTACATGTCTGTGTGTGTACAGGTATCTGTTTGTTTGTGTGTGTTTGTTGGTGGCGAGTAACTCTAAGGCCTGGCTAGTAGCTCAGGACTTGGAATTTTAAGCCCTGACATATAGTATCACCAACATAATATAGATCAGCCTAGATACGGTGGTTTATTTGACTGTAGATTTGGCAACCCACCTCTATGTTCACTTAGAGAAGAGCTGGAGACTTTTATAACCAATCATCCTGACAAATGTCTCCTAAGGCAAGGAGCCTAACTACCTATATATTGAGAAAAGCTGGACCAGCTTTGTATGATAACTCCACAACCATCAATAGGAAAAATAAGTGTAAACTATGATGACTAATTTGACCGATACAAAAATCACATGTCTAAACGCAATAAAATACAAAAGAATGCCTTTCTAGCATTATGACTCATTTACTTTTTTAGGCTATGCCATCAAAATGCAAGGTCCACTTCCTTGTTAGGCCCCAACCTCTACTTTAAAACAAGCAGCATTACAAGTTAAAAAAAAGGAGAAAAAAAGTATACTGACCTTACACCCCAGCTTTTACTTGCAATGCCTCAAAAAAGACCTTGTTATGAGCCTTTCAGATCCTGTTAAAAACATTAATGATCCATAAATGTTTCAAGATTCGAAATCTTTCACATTCCTCAAATGTTGGCAGAAAGTCCACGACATCATTTTTGCCGGAAGGCAAGGTAAGGGTTTTTTTTCTTGTCAGGGGTCTAATAAAAATATGGACCACTTAAAGCAGAACATCACATAAAATTGGAAGTTCCACTTTTCCTCCTCCTCCCCACTCCTCTGTTATATTTGGAATTTTTCTTTAGGAAGCAGTTAACTAGCTTTTACAGTTATCCACTCCCACTTCTGCTCAGAAGGCCTAGACAATCTGAGCAAAAGTTTGCTCCCCCCACCTGCAACCTTCTGGACACGTCGTAGGCCCTTGAAGGCTGGAGGTCTATTCGCCAAGTGCAGTACACACATGTGTAGTGGGGAGCCAACTGTGAGCCAGTAGAAAGTCACAGACAGCTTTCCACACTCCCGATGGTGATGCCGGGAGATCTGAATACAGTGACAGCGCTGGATTCCTAAGCTAGTGAGTACCTGTTTATTAAAAGTATCCTGAACCTCCTTTCTTGATGATGCCTGTTTGGGGAAATGTGTCGGTCAGAGCTGTTTCTGTGCCATCACCACATATACCGGCGGGTCCCGTGGCAGTGCTCTAGATTGTATATTCCACTTGTCTCATTTTCTTGCTATGTAAGAGCAATACCTTTTTTCAAACTGATTTTAAATATACTGCACCATGAGAATTCTCCCTGTGTTCTATCTTTTAATGGAAATGCTGTATGCGACTGAGGGTGATGTTTAAACCAGCATGCCCAATCTGGCTATCCCTTTGATGTTAGGTTTGGTGGAATCCCCTGCTTCATTGCAGCTAAAGCACATTAGATCTTCTTTTGTTGAGATCTTATTGTTTGGTAAGAAGCTCTGCATGGGGATAGCACTTTTTTTTCATAATTGACTAGCAATGACAGCACTTTATGTTCCAAGGCAGAATACTGCCGATGGAGTTGGGATGTTTATGTAAACTGAATATATAATTTGTGGACTGTGTTTTATTTATTCATTAAAAGTCAGCAGCTACATTATTTGTAGTTGTTGACTGTTAATTTTCCTGGAAACGGTTTGAGTTCCTCTTTGAATTACTTGCTTGCTTTCCTAATGTGTTTCTACTACTGCTTCTACTGTAAAATATCACATAATGTTCCACACTCCATTTAACCTGTTTCCACCCAGCCAATAGCTGAGAATGATAGCTGAGTGGGCTCTCCTCAATCTGGGTAGGCGTCATATGACGTCCTTCCTGGATCGCGCCTTGCACGTGCTCGCGGGGCCGCACTGTGGCGAGATCTGTCACCGTCTGTGTACCTCAGACACAGACAGATCTGTGTACTGGCCCATTGCCAGTACCATGTGACCTGCTGTGACCAATACCAGCAGGTCACATGACAATTGTAAACAGAGGATGGCTTCCTTTCATGCCATCCATTGTATACAATTGTGTCACTAGCTGTGGCTGGTCGCAGTGATCACATGTACAGACTGGGCCAATCACATCATGTGACAAGCCAATCACAGCTAATCACAACAAAAAAACTTGAATGAATCAATTTAATTCAGCAGCACAGTGGCTAAATGGTTAGCACTTCCACCTGGCAGTACTAGGGTCGTTGGTTCAAATCCCAACCATGGCACCACCAGCCTGGAGTTTGCATGTTCTCCCTGTGCCTGTGTGGGTTTTCTCTGGGTACTCCAGTTTCCTCCCACACTCCAAAGACATGCTGGTAGGTTAATTGGATCCTGTCTAAATTGGCCCTAGTACGTGTATGTATGAATGTAAGTTAGGGACATTAGATTGTACACCCCTTGAGGGTTAGGGACTGATGTGAATGTACAATATATATGTAAAGCGCTGCGTAAATTGACGGCACTATATAAGTACCTGTAAAAAAATAATAATAAATAAATAATTTAATTCAGTTAAATGCTTGATTATAGCAAATAAATTATTTATTACAAGCAATCATAATATGTGGAAAAGAAAATACTGATCACTTCCCCAAAGTAGTAGAATGTTGCTATGGTAACATCACACTACTCTGGTCACAGTGTATTATGAAAAAAAAAAATCTTTAAAAAAAAGAAACAAATGTAATAACAAATTTTTAAAAAATATTAAAAAGTGTAAAAAAAATTTTGTACTGTAACCAGTCAGTGTCCCTGATCAACACCATACCAGTTATATGATGATGCTGTACTGCACTGGTGACAGTATGTAAAAAAAATATATAATTTATTTTTCTAATTTCTTAATTTTCCAAAAATTATGACAAAAAAATGACAACTTCAAAAACTTTCCATGCCTCTTACTAAATACCTTGGAGAGGTTACTTAGCAAAAAAGGGGTCTTTTGGTATGTATATCTATACTGCTCTGACATTTTTGGGTCTCAGGAAATTAGGCTGTCAGTACTTCAGGACTGATCAATTTTTAGATATATATCATAGTTTTTGAACTCTATAACTTTCCTACAGACTAAATAATAAATACTGATTTGGGTTATTTTCACCAAAGAAATGTAGCAGAAAACACCTTTTATTTACAGAATTTATGAAGAACAATTATTTTATTACCAAAAACAAAGAAAAACGTTTTTTTTTCTCAAAATTTTTCGGTCTTTATTTGTTAATTTAGCAAAAAATTTAATCTGCAGTGTTGATTAAATACCATCAAAAGAAAGCTCTAGTTGTATAAACAAAATGATAAAAATTTAATTTGGGTACAGTGTCACATGACCACGCAATTGTCATTCAAATGTGAGAGCCCTGAAAGCTGAAACTTGGCCTGGGCAGGAGGGGGTAAAAGTATTTGAAGTATTGAAGAGGTATTGAAGTGGTTAACCAAAAGTAACAAAAGTACTGCTTATATCGCGATTTGATTAATATTCATGCTTTTTTTTTCAGGAATTTCAGGTCATGACTTATTCCACACAGTTCCTCTTAACCTTCCTAAAATATACGTTTTTCATGCCTTTAATACCTTTCTTAAGTTCTAAAGAGTATATGACATGGTTCATTTAAAAGATGTTTCGGTTCTCAGCTTGTATGAATGTATACACTGGCATAGAACCAAATTGTTTTTGATATTAGTTTGGGTACTAAAATGCCTCACACAAATCCTGTAATTTGTATGTTGACTGCTTTTGACTTTCACTAAATTTAATCAAAAGTATGAAAAAATTAAAAATTGATATCCGCTAAATAAGTTTTCACTGAAGTGTTAGCCATATAATCCTTTTTACTATGCCTGCCGTATTCTATAGAAGGCACCATTCCAAGAGAACAGCTCTGATACACACACATGTGCACACTGCACTGCTTGGAAAAAATCATTCTCATAAAATTAAATGGCAAATACATTCATTTCGATTATCCGCTTGCCAAAATCTAATGAAAAAGTAAAAGCAGAAATCAGATTTTATTGCTTGTGAAACATGAAGAATACCCAATACATGTAACTCATTTTAATTTGCTAGCAAATTATATTTAGAGAAAAGCACTTTAGAGACCTAAATTCTGCTGAACATTGGCTGTCTGTTACAAATTGAAGAAGTGGGTTTTCTACAAGAAGGGGAGTCATTCTTATAGAATGTTATAGAACACATTGTTATCAAATGTCTCCAGAGTAAGATATACCTATTTTTTCAATGCAGAGCTCAGCAATGAACATACAAAAAAGAAATAACCATTTTTTCTGGGGTGTTTAACCAGCCAAAACCTAGCATAATAATAAAATTAGTTTTTAGAACAACAGTATTTGGTATTCACTTGTATTAATCAAACATGGATTTATATGTTTCTATTTTTTAATAAAGGAACAGACTTCATCCTGTACAAAAAAAAATGGGCCCCCATGAACTGTATCTATAATGCATTCTACTTCTGTCTCACTGAGCATTATTGTAGATACATCTTGGGTGCTCTCCAGCTATGGTTTCATGGGACTAACTGTTGCACATTGTTTTTGTGCCAAGAACCCATACTACCGAACCTCTAGCCTTAACCTGACCCTAAGGCTGGTCCTAAAATGTAACCCAAGTCCTAAAATGTAACTTGACCCTTAAATTAACATTTAACCTACCCATAATATTAAAAACTAACCCTTAGCCTAACTGTGAAACTTAAGTTGGGCACTTCCCCCCCTCCAAGTCCTTTGTCTCCTTTTTCCATCCCATCTCCAGTCACATAATGAACAGTTGGGGCATAACTACAGAATACAATGCCCCATAGCAAAATTTTAAGGGGCCCTTGGCGACCTCCCCACTGTCATTGATCTTAATATAAAGAA